ATTTTCCGTTTTTTCGGTTTGTTAATTGACTTGTGTTCATAGTCGATGTGCAGTTACCATAAAATAATGTGGCAATATTCAATGGAATGTCCAAAGTACCCTTTAGCTTGATACCTTTATATTTTGACTATATCATGACCCAATTTGGGCGTCGTTTCTTATTTCGGGCGTCGTATTCTTGATCTCGAGGCTGACCCTTAGATTCTATGTTTTCTCTGTGAAGATCTCTGAACAAAATCAGGTTTCCATTTTCTTGCGTCTACTGTTGTCTGTTTCGTGTAGTTTGTATTGATTTCCTTTGTTTTTATTCAGAAAAATCTGATCTTTTAAGTAGGATTCGACTGGTGGTTGTATATGTGTAGCTGTAGTTTGATTGGGCAAACCCTTTTTTTTTTACTCAGTTTCTGGAACAATTTTCATATCCATGGTTTTCTCCAAGTTTTCAGTAAGAACTGGATTTATGTTTTAACTTACCCAATATGAACTGGATTTTATGTTTTAACTCACCTTTTCTGCATAATAGTGTGTTTTTGTAAGTTGTAACAATTATATGATTAAAAATAGCATTTCGCTTCAGAAATATTCTTGCTTTGGACTGTGACTGAGCTACACAAAGTTTGGGAATGCATGTCATTTGACTTGAAATTAGTTTCTCATCTAGTTTATGGTTTTTGTGATTGATTTGTGTTGGCATAGTCCTATGATTCTTGTGAATCTTTTTTTCCCATCAGAAACTCCCTTTACTTTTTGTCTGTTAGTGTTAGAACTTAACTGAAAATTGTGTTTATTAGAGACTTTAACTCCCTTTACTTTTTTGTCTGTTAATGATAGAACTTAACTGAGCATTTTTGTTACTAAGTTGTTGCAATTAGTTAATCATCTTGTGTCTAGTTTTTTTGATTGATTTGTGCTAGCACAGTCAAGGAAACTCTTCTGAATCCTTTTTAACGTGTATTACAAAACATTATATAATTCGGAAGTAATATGCAAATGTTCGCTTCAATAATACTGTAACCATATACCACCAGCAAGACAAAACAAACCACCAATAGTCGATTGTGTTTTGTATCCGTTGTTTACCAGAAAACATGATTCCGAATAACTCTTTAACGTCCATTTTTACCATGTCTTTATGGCTTCACTGGTTTTCTTTCAAGCTTTAGAATATACAGAGGATATGAGTCTGAGATTCCCATTTATCTTCTGTTTGTATTGTGTCTTTGCTACTTCTCGTGGTTTTATTTTAAGCTTGGGAATATGTTTTAGCAGTATCTATTGTCGGTCCTATCAAGATCTTGATTAAGTTGGGTGTCTGTTGAAAAATGGAGAGTACCATTACAACAAATGCTCAAAGTCAAAAGCCAGCTTTCTTTTCCTTCCTCGTCCTGGTTACCTGGCTTGGATAATATACTAAAAAAAAAAATCTTAGCAGAAGCCTCTGAAACATGTTATCAGGAACCCCTTACGATCCTACTCGAGTTTACCAAACCTGAGTGTGGTGTGTTGTGAGTTGATTTTTGTTTTTGGCTGATTTGAAGGGCCATCTTTGTTAGATTGGTGTGAACTTTTTTCTTGCGTTTATCAATTTTGCTCTTCTTCTCTGCGTATTGGGTTCATTTTGGCAAGTTGTGAGACCACAGATCAAACNTATCTCTGTAAGCTCTAGCTAGTTGCTTGTGTAGTTGGTAAAGAAGTTCAGTATTAATGAAATGGTCTATGGCTCAGAACACAGTATTCAAGTTCTTACATTTTTAGGGGTCTATGTGATTTGGTTCCTTTCGGTCTCTGCTTGTTTGTTTATTGTGGTGTTTTGCTATGCGTCTTCAGGGTAGTCTTATATCTTAAACAAGTTGTGAAACATAGAGTGGAACCTTTCTTTTTCTATTAGTTTGACTTTGCCTAAAGTCATGCTTGTTTTACTTAGCATTGGACTGTTATGCAGATAACAAGTACTCTTTTTAAGCTTTGAAACATATGCTGTGTTTTAGCCATAATATACTCAACAAAATAATAATAATAATAATAATTCTTAGCAGAAGCATGAAATATGTTAACTGGTTTACACAAACTAACACCAAAACAAGAGAAGCCAAGAGCTGCGACTAACCAGTTAATTCGTTCAAAATCGTAATGCCGGCGTGAACCAACCGCTACAAGATCCTAGTTGAGTTTTCGTGGTTATCATACAAGTCCTTTGTATCCTCTCCTCTGCCACGTTGAAAACACCAATTTCGTGAACGCTGTACATATTGTCGGGATTAAAAATACTAGTGTCCCTGAACATCCCCACACCATCCATCGTCGCGTAACGAATGCAGTTAGGTTCGTCGTCCTCCGAGACCCCTTCCATCGAAATCGAACCCGTATCTCCCAAATATATACACTTGTCTCCCATTTGCTCCACCTTTTCCAATGATGATGATAATAATAATCCATCCCCATTCACTCTCAACCGACGAACCTCGAATCGTCTAGTCTGCGGGCATTTGTATACCCGTGTTTTCCCGCCGCCCATATCAAAGTTGTGGGAGAACAAGTCGAGAGTCGAGCTCACGAGCAGCAACTCGTCGTCTTCTTCACACCCCACCAAGTGCTCCGCCACGATCCAATCCTTCAACACATCGGATAACCCGACCACATCATTGTCCTCGTCCTCGTCAGATTCCGAAAAGTCGCCACCGTATGCCAGCTCACACGTCACCACCTCCAAGTTAGCACTACTTGCGAGCGTGTGAGTGCTCGTTTTCGAGACAAACGGGCGGCTCCCCGGGTCCCACGGTGGGCACACGGCGAAGAGCCTCCCACCATGGAAGAGGATATCCGAGTAGCGGTTGGTTTCGCCGTCGTCGTTGTTGTTGTTCGGGAGCACGGCGGTCCAAGTCGGGTCACCGGGCGAGCAGACCGCTAGCCGGTCCCATGCGTTGCGGTGGATATACTCGTCGTCGACCAGCGAGAAGACGACGGCCACCGTGGAGGAGTGAGAAACCCGGGCTCGGGAGGTCACGAGAGGGGAGGAGAAGTCGAGCTCGTGCTTGCGGCAGCCGGTCGCCAGCTCGTCGAAGAAGGGGAGGGTGGTGACAGAAGGGAGGGATTGGGTGGCGCCAGACAGTGGGTCCCACAAGACCATCTCTGTTGACCGGTGGCCGGAGGCTGGGGTGTGGCCCACCAGGAGAAGCCATCCGCAGCCGGAGCCGCGGCAGGACCAGCGGCGGCCGCCGGAGACGAGGTGGGGGGGCAGACGGTGGCGGTACTTGCGGTTCTCGGATGGGGACTCGAGGGTTAGGCAGGCGGGGAAGGTGGGCTCGTGATGGGGTGTGATGAGCCACGGTGGCTCGGGCCGGACGGGGAAATCAGCCCGGTCTATCGTGTCCTTCCACGAGCGGCAGACGAGCCTCATGCGGGCTCGTTGCCCGATGAGTAGGCTGCTGAATATCCGGCCCATTACGTCATCATCGAATGGGGGAGAAGAAGAAGAAGATGGGTTGCGGGACCCACTGGAAAAACCGGGGATCAAGGGCGTGAAGCGACGGCAATACCACTTGAGGAAAGGGAAAATTATCTTCACAGAAAGCATTGTGTATTTTGTGTCTCAAAGTATGAAGAAGCTATATGTATAAATACTGTATACATACTATCATTGTTGCTAGACTTAGGAATCCCAATCCAATTATGTTTAGGATTTGGAATGCTTGTGCCAACCGACCTGAGTAGCGTTTGGTAAATAGAGTTTAAATATAGTATTTATATATTTTTTGTGCTGACTTTTTTGTAATATTATTATAGTTATATATTTCTTTTTATAAAGTTAAACAAATGAATAAATAATATTTTAGTCGTTACACCTAATTATACGATTACGTTCTTATATGTTTTCCCTAACGTTAGTTTGTAGTGCTTCCTCATGTGTTCATGTGTGCTTTGTGTAATTTTAGGTGTCAATTTTCAGAGTAGTCCACATATATCTAAACTTCCATTCATGCTTATGTAGTATACTCTTATAATTATAATGCGTTTGAATAACTTAAATTATATATAAAGATTAATAATTTTTGTATTTGCTAGTAAATTTTCATTTATGATACAACCAAAAATCATTAACCTTCAATTTGGCATCCAATTGCATCTCCAAATGAATATATTTAACTTTATATTGAAAATTAAATTATTTATCAATCTAATTGAGAAATAATAAAATTGATTACCAATTAAATAAATTAATCCATCAAGTGCATTATACAATTATACAATATGGACCGAAAAACTTATTATAATATAGAAGGGGAAAATACAAATAACAAATATTAATTTAAATACAAATAGATATGTTATTTTAAAACTATGTGAAACTTAAAATAAAAACTTACATTTTTTAATTCAGATATAAAAAATTTTATTTACACCCGAATATTGTAGTCTATTAATTTACCTTAAGTTACCAACCACAAATTTGAGATCGATTATATTGATATTAAATATGTCGATATTATTTCACACATTGACTATATAGTACATATATTTTCCTTTCATCTCTATTAATAAATCAAATACAATTTTGATAAGACATAAAAAAAAATATTATTTTATTTCAACCATCAGATCTTCAAATTCGTGTATTGGCTTTGTCCATTCATCAACTCACCACGTTCTTCACAGGCACCCGTCGTCTCCATCTCGTTCTCTCGGATTCGGAAAGGACATCAGGAAAGGTATTCAGATTCAATTGTTAATCCCTCAAATTTCGATGATCTAAACCTGTTTATATTTTTTATTTTGCTCGCCGAGTTTTTATGTATAAGCGTGTGAAGCCTGCTTGAGTTCTATCATGGATATGTGATTCGGTTGGCCATTTGAAGTGATCGACGGAAGTTTAATGGATAATTGATCGGAGCTGTTTTTTCATTGTTGCTGTATATGGTTTAGATGTATTTTTGCGGCTCATCAATGGTTTTTGTTTTGGTAAAATTGTCCGAAGGGAGCTCAGATTGGATCACTTGCTGCAATCGCCTCTGTATTTGCTGATAAATTTGCGCTTTTACGTGTGTCGATTTAAGCTGGAAGCTCCGAAGGATGATAGATGCCAGTTGGGAATGAATGAATGTTGAAAGTGACTTACTAAGCTAAAATTAACTCATGAAGTTAGTTGGAATTTGGAAGAAGGTTTTTATTCATGGTCAGAGTTTGACATAAAGATATGGTGAATAAATAGAATGGATCAGAATTTTCTGTATACTTGGTAAAAAGTATTAGATGTAGCTATGCCCATTTCTGTTTTGGAAGCAGATTTGGAGGTTTCTGTAGATGAAGGGCGGAGTAGTAATTATAGGTTTTTTTTTTTTTTAAATTTCTGTTCATTACGGTTGCTTCTATTTGTATTCGTTTTGATAACTTCCCCTTTTTTTTGTTGTGTTATCATGGATTTTGTAGGTTCAATATGGGTGCAGAAAACAACATTGAGATTGAGGATGGAACTCTGGAAATTGGAATGGGTATGTTTCTTAACAAGTTATATTCTCGTGATCGACATAAATAGATGCTTCTGTACATCATTACATCTGTGCCTATGTAACCATCCATCTAAAGCTCATTATCGTAGTCTCTTATGTCTTACCATACTGTAAGAAATATATAATCTGCTGTTTCCTTGCAGCTTCATTGCAATAGCAATGCAAATTCCTTGCAGCTGCAAAGCACCTTCATAGCAGCCATTATGGGCTGATTTTTCAGCTTAAGTAATTTCTAGGAAAGTCACTAGGTAGTTGTTTTTAGTTCTTATAAATAGAGATGTAGTTTTGTATTTGTAAACACAGCAAAAACTGAATAATCAATACTTTGAGTTGTTCAATATCTTCTTCTATCCTAAAAGTGTCCGTTTGTGTCGGGAAGCATTTTTGCTTACACGAACAGTGCATCCTAGCTGAAAATAAAGACGAGCAGGGACTAACAAGTGGTATCAGAGCCATGGCAAGCCAAGATGCTGCGTCGACGGTGCAAGGGAGCGGTGCACACGCTTCACCGCGCCAGGAGGTCATCATCCATAGGACCGTACGGGACGTTGGCGGGGCCAACTGGCCGGTCCTCACACGCACAAACTATGGCGAGTGGGCGGTGCTGATGAAGGTCAAGTTGCGTGCGCGTAAGCTATGGCGGGCCATTGAAGAAGGCACCGAGGATGAAGAAGAGGACTGTGCAGCGATGGAAGCGATTCTATCCGCTGTGCCTCACGAGTACGTGGAGTCGCTGGGCGTAAAGGACTCCGCAAAGGCTGCTTGGGACGCCCTCAAGGCCATGCGCATCGGGTCTGATCGCGCAAAGAAGGCGAAGGCGCAGCAGCTGCGGCGGGAGTATGAGGCGCTGGTGTTCCGCGACGGCGAGGCAGTGGAGGATTTCTCGCTCCGTCTGCAGTCGCTCGTCAGTCAACTGGCGGCGCACGGCGTCACCATCACCGACGAGGAGGCGGTCGCGAAATACTTGCGTGTCGTGCCACCTAAGTACGCCCAGATCGCGCTCTCCATCGAGACGTTGATCGACATGTCCACCCTCACGATTGAGGATGTGACTGGGCGCTTGCGGGCGGTCGATGACCGTGTGGAGACGGCGACGATAACTACCAGCGGCAAGTTACTGCTGACCGAGGAAGAATGGGCAGCTCGTATGCGCGAGAGGCGGCCCGGGGAAGGCTCCTCCAGCCGTGGCGGCTACGGCAAGCGTCGTAGCAAGGCCCCGCAGAAGAAGAAGGACGGCGACAACGTGCGTCCGATCGACAAGGACACTTGTCGACGCTGCGGGAAGACAGGACACTGGGCCCGGGATTGCAAGAATCCCAAGAAGGAGAAGAGGGAGGCACACCTCGCGCAGGTAGACGACGAGGAGCCAACTCTTCTAATGGCAACGACCTGCAAGTTGCACGACGTTGAGCCAGAGTTAGAGGAAGTCAAGGCGGCGGTTGCAGAGCAGGGGAAGGCACTACAGGTCGTTCACCTCGACGAGTCAAGTGCCCAAGTCCACCTTGGACGAATGGGCGGTGGCATGGAGCAGAGGTGGTACCTAGACTCCGGCGCCAGCAACCACATGACCGGCTCCAAGGAGGCCTTCTCCGAGCTTGATGACGGCGTGACGGGGACGGTGAAGTTCGGAGACGGCTCAAAGGTGGAGATTCGAGGTCGCGGCAACGTCATCTTCCGGTGCCAGAACGGCGAGCACCGCGCATTGACGGATGTGTACTATATCCCGCAGTTGCGTTCAAGCATCGTCAGCATCGGGCAGTTGGACGAGCACGGCTGTGAGGTGCTTGTCAAAGGCGGCGTGCTAAAGCTCAGGGACCGAGACCAGCGGCTGTTGGCCAAGGTCCAGCGTTCCCGGAACCGCCTCTACCTCCTCGACTTGAAGGTGGAGCAGCCAGTGTGCTTGGCAGTACGACACACCGAAGAGCCATGGCTATGGCATGCTCGTTTCGGCCATTTGAACTTCGACGCACTCGGCCGGCTGAGGAAGATGGTGCGCGGGCTCCCGCACATCGAGCACGCAGGCGAGCTGTGCGACAGCTGCCTGGCAGGGAAGCAGAAGCGGCTGCCCTTCCCAAAGGCGGCCAAGTATCGTGCGGCGGACGTCCTAGAGCTCGTCCACGGCGACCTCTGCGGGCCGATCACACCGGCTACGCATGGCGGACGGCGCTACTTCCTGCTGCTCGTGGATGACTGTAGCCGTTTCATGTGGCTGCAGCTCCTGACGAGTAAGGATCAGGCAGCAGAGGCAATCAAGCGGTTCCAGGCGCGAGCCGAGGTAGAGTCTGGGAAACGGCTGCGCGTGCTGAGGACGGATCGCGGTGGCGAGTTCACATCGGTGGAATTCGCTGCGTACTGTGCAAACCAGGGGGTGGTGCGCCATCACACTGCGCCGTACTCACCGCAGCAAAACGGTGTAGTGGAGCGGCGGAATCAGACCGTGGTGGGCATGGCCCGAAGCATGATGAAGGCAAAGGGCATGCCAGCGGAGTTCTGGGGAGAGGCTGTGAGCACGGCAGTGTTCATCCTCAACCGTGCGCCCACAAAGGCCCTGAAGGGCATGACGCCATTCGAAGCTTGGCATGGTAGGCAGCCCGACGTCTCGTTTCTAAGGACGTTTGGGTGCATTGGCCATGTGAAGAAGACGAAGCCCTTCATGTCCAAGCTTGAGGATAGGAGCACACCGATGGTGTTCCTAGGCTACGAGGAGGGGAGCAAGGCCTATCGGCTCTACGATCCACGTGGAGGCAAGGTGGTGGTTTCGCGGGATGTGGTGTTCGACGAAATGGCGGCCTGGGATTGGGAGAATCCTGGCACGGGGGAAGCCCGTGGCGTTGGCGGTACGTTCGTCATCGAGCATTTGGTGATCCACGGAGGAGGAGATGTGGGAGTAGAGGAGCCAGCTGCGGACGCGCCAAGTCCAACAGCTGTGGCGGCGTCGGATGAGCCGCAAAGTCCTGCCATGACGGGCACGGGCGAAGAATCTCCACCAGTGGCTGCACACACACCCTCACCACATTCCCCTACTGCGGCAGGACAGGGGACATCTCCGACGACAGTTGAGTTCGCCTCTCCTCCAAGCGACATCGACGAGTATGTGGATGCCTTCCACGACGGCGAGGGGGTGAGGTTTCGCAGGATGGACAACCTTGTTGGCAACTCGGCGGTACCAGGCTTAGCGAGCCGATTACTCGATGATCAGGAGCTGCTCCTCGTCAGCGCAGAGGAGCCATCGACTTTCGCGCAGGCCGAGGGAGATGTCAATTGGAGACGAGCTATGCTAGAGGAGATGAAGGCGATCGAGGAAAATGAGACGTGGGAGCTCGTCGATCCACCTCCAGGCTGTCATCCAATCGGGCTCAAATGGGTCTACAAAGTCAAGCGGGACGAGTGTGGCGCCATAGTCAAGCACAAGGCGCGCCTCGTTGCTCGCGGTTTCGTCCAGCGAGAGGGCATCGACTTTGAGGAAGTTTTTGCACCAGTGGCGCGCATGGAGTCAGTTCGCCTACTGCTAGCCATGGCGGCAGCAAAGGACTGGCGCATTCATCACCTGGACGTGAAATCGGCCTTCCTAAATGGAGAGCTAGCGGAGACTGTTTTCGTCAAGCAAGCCCCGGGCTTCGTCGTCAAGGGAAAGGAGCACAAGGTGCTACGGCTGCGGAAGGCACTCTATGGGTTGCGACAAGCCCCGCGAGCGTGGAACGCCAAGCTCGATGCCACTCTGGGTACGCTTGGGTTCACGCGCTGCGAGACTGAGCACGCGCTCTACACGCGACGACGGGGGAAGGAGGAGCTCGTCGTCGGCGTGTATGTAGATGACTTGATCATCACCGGGGCACGAGAAGGGGACATCAACGGTTTCAAGCACGAGATGGCAGCTCGTTTCCGCATGAGCGATCTCGGGCAGCTCTCCTACTACCTCGGCATCGAGGTGAAGCAGGGGAGAGACTCCATCACTCTCTGCCAGCGTGCGTATGCGGGGAAGCTGTTGGAGCGGAGCGGCATGGCTGACTGCAAGTCATGCGCGACTCCAATGGAGGAGCGGCTGAAACTGACGAAAGCCAGCACCGCGGAAAAGGTGGATGCAACACTCTACCGGAGTATCGTCGGCGGGCTACGCTATCTAGTCCACACGAGGCCAGATATTGCATTCGCCGTGGGCTATGTCAGTCGTTTCATGGAGGACCCCCGAGAGGATCATTGGGCTGCGGTAAAGCGGCTGTTGCGCTATGTCAAGGGGACGGTGGACCAGGGCATCATCTTTCCCAAGACCGGCGGTGGAAGTGGGCTGCGGCTCACGGTTTTCAGCGATGCAGACATGGCAGGCGACATTGATGGGCGGAAGAGCACCTCCGGTGTGCTCGTCTTCCTTGGATCAGCCCCAATCTCATGGCAGTCGTTGAAACAGAAGATCGTGGCGTTGTCTACGTGCGAGGCGGAGTACGTGGCGGCAGCCACAGCGGCATGTCAGGCGGTCTGGCTGCGTAGGTTGCTGGGCGAGCTGACCGGCGAGGAAGCTCGTCCACCAGCTCTGATGGTGGACAACCAGCCCGCCATTGCCCTTGCAAAAAATCCAGTCCTCCATGACCGGAGCAAGCACATCGATACCCGTTTTCACTTCATCAGGGATTGTGTCGATGAAGGACATATTGTTTTGGAGTTTGTCGAATCCGGACGGCAGCTCGCAGACATCCTTACCAAGCCACTCGGCCGTCTTCGGTTCATGGAGCTGAGGACCAAGATTGGAATGATAGGAAACAAGGAAGAGCAGCATGATTAGGGGAAGAATTGTAAGAAATATATAATCTGCTGTTTCCTTGCAGCTTCATTGCAATAGCAATGCAAATTCCTTGCAGCTGCAAAGCACCTTCATAGCAGCCATTATGGGCTGATTTTTCAGCTTAAGTAATTTCTAGGAAAGTCACTAGGTAGTTGTTTTTAGTTCTTATAAATAGAGATGTAGTTTTGTATTTGTAAACACAGCAAAAACTGAATAATCAATACTTTGAGTTGTTCAATATCTTCTTCTATCCTAAAAGTGTCCGTTTGTGTCGGGAAGCATTTTTGCTTACACGAACAGTGCATCCTAGCTGAAAATAAAGACGAGCAGGGACTAACACATACATCTGCACTTTATGGATCATTCAAGTTCTTGGATTAGATAAGATTAGAAGCTTTGCTGCAATGTGGAAAAGCCGAAACGGCTTCTCCTGGCATAGTGCTAATAATGGACTAGATCAAAATGGCTCAATTAAATTCTAGTGCTTCTTCTATTAGTGAAGTTTCTAGAAAAAAAAAAAATATATCAAACGGTGCAATGCACCTTGGGTCGCTACGGAAACAGCCTCCTTGTATAATTACAAGGGTAAGGTCTGCGTACAACTGACCCCCCAGACCCCAACCTGTTGGGAATATACTGGGTATGTTGTTGTAAATATGAAACTGATTTATCTGTCCACAAGGAAATGCATTTTACCTCTTTTTTTTTTTTAACTTCTTTTCAAATGTTTGCAGAATATAGAACTGTCTCTGGAGTTGCTGGACCTCTGGTTATTCTTGACAAGGTCAAGGTAAATGTTTTTCTGCATATCATCTTTGTGGAGTTACACATACTTCACTAGCTCTGTGCAATGTGGATATAAAGACAGTACCACTTAGATGTCTTTATAAAATATTATGCCAGGGACCCAAGTACATGGAAATTGTGAACATTCGCCTCGGAGATGGTACGACCCGGCGTGGGCAAGTGTTGGAGGTTGATGGAGATAAGGCTGTTGTTCAGGTGATCACCATTAAATGTTTCACATTTGTTATTCTTTTGATGGATTCTATTTTCTGTAGATACTTTCTGAGATTTGGATAATTGTGCCACTATTGAATTTTTTGATGTCTGTTATTTCTTCTTTTCAAGTATCTTTTTTGTTGTTTGCTTATTCTGCAACTTTATTGTTTCGTTATAGTTATTTTTAGCTTTAGCAGAAGTTTTTTCCATTAAGTCAGATTTAGATTTCTGCACTATTTTTTTTNAATTCAGTAAGCTCCAATACCATTTTATTGTTATCTTTGAGAAGGCGCTAATTCCAAGAAATGTTTTTCTTTGTTGTGTTAACCAGGTTTTTGAAGGAACTTCTGGAATTGACAACAAATATACAACCGTCCAGTTTACTGGAGAGGTACGGTTGCACGTGTTTGCTAGTTTGTCTTTCAGAATCATCTTGTTATTGAACGCAATGCGACTAAGTGTTCCATGAGTAATATATTTCCTGTAGGCGGTTGATTGGGAAGGGGCTTTAGATGTAGCTTCCTTTCTGTAGTTCTGTTATGGTTAAGTTGAGCAGTGCCGAAGTGTTATATTGTCTAGAGGAGCACTCAGCTTCACTTATGAATGTCGACTTATGGGTGTTTAGGATTTGGACATTTGGAGTGTACTCTATCTCTATTTAAAACTTCTAATGTATTGTCATCCCAATTAAGAGAGTGCATGTGGTTTCGAGTTTTAAAAATATTCTGCGTTGTCTTTTTAAGCTCTGCATTTATGCAATTGTGCTACAATTTATTGCAGGTTCTGAAAACACCTGTCTCATTGGATATGCTGGGTCGAATTTTTAATGGTTCCGGGAAGCCCATTGATAACGGCCCCCCTATTCTTCCCGAGGCTTACTTGGATATATCTGGCAAGTTTAAATAACAAATCAAACAGATAGTATGAAGTAGTGACTGATATATGTCAGGTGGCCATTTCTCATGTATTCTTCAACCTGTTTGCTTCAGGAAGTTCAATCAATCCTAGTGAGAGAACATATCCTGAAGAGATGATACAGACTGGAATCTCAACAATCGATGTCATGAACTCGGTTGCCCGAGGACAGAAAATTCCTCTTTTCTCTGCTGCCGGTCTTCCACACAATGAAATAGCTGCTCAAATATGTCGTCAGGCTGGTTTGGTGAAACGACTTGAGAAATCTGACAACCTTCTTGAGGTATATGATTACCATAATTCTAGAACAACTCTCCCTCACTAGCCCTCATAGAATTTTGGAAAGATTCTCTTAATTAAAATTGTGGGCTGTACTCATCTACCTGATTCGTGAATGTATTTTCTTTTACTCGGTTAGTTTTTAATGGCTTGTGATGTTTGTGCTAGCATTCTTATCTTGATCAACTTTTTGCTGCAGGATGGTGAAGAAGATGATTTTGCCATTGTTTTTGCAGCTATGGGAGTTAACATGGAGACAGCTCAGTTCTTCAAACGCGATTTTGAGGAAAATGGATCCATGGAGAGGGTTACCCTTTTCCTCAATTTGGTAAATAATGCTTTATCACCATGTTTGGGACTAAATAATGTTTTATATATACCGATTAAAAAAATGTTTTATATAAATATTCAGTGAAAGGGTTTTTTTTGTTTGTTTTTTTTTTTTCTTTCTTTACATCATTCTTTTTTTCCTGTAGGCCAATGACCCAACAATAGAACGTATCATTACACCTCGCATTGCCCTAACAACAGCAGAATATTTAGCATACGAATGTGGGAAGCATGTTCTTGTCATATTGACAGACATGAGTTCTTATGCCGATGCTCTTCGTGAGGTACATCTCCATAAATATTTTAAACTCTCAGCTATATCTAGTGTATATGATATGTACGCCATGTCTTCTATCAACCGACATAAAGTATCTTTCTTCTATCTTTTTTTTTTTCTCATCCTTCCTGGCTTTGAATCATATTTCTTTCTCTAGGTACATACAAACGTCATGCTCATAAACAAGTGTTTTTTATTTTCTTTTAGGTCTCTGCTGCTCGAGAGGAAGTACCTGGAAGACGTGGATACCCTGGTTACATGTACACTGATCTGGCAACTATATATGAAAGGGCTGGACGTATTGAAGGACGAAAGGGCTCCATTACACAAATTCCCATTTTAACCATGCCCAATGATGGTAACTCTATATTAACCTTGAATTTACCATCTGGAAACTAATACTTTTCTGGTGTTTCCGCATCATCTTATGTTTTCTTTTTTCGTGTTAATTGAACAGATATCACACACCCAACTCCAGATCTTACCGGTTATATTACTGAGGGGCAGATATACATTGACAGACAACTTCATAATAGACAGGTAAGCGGCCATCTTTAAATCTTGTACAACTATATGTCTACTTTTGCCATATGAGTTTCTTCACATAATATGGGTTATGCTGGGCTATCATCAATCATCTAACTTGGCCAAATATTGTCTGCCTGAATTTACAGATATATCCTCCGATCAATGTGCTGCCATCATTGTCTCGTCTAATGAAGGTAAATATGAAAGATATGCATTTTGTTTGGGTTGACATGCCGACTATATCTGTGATATCAATATATGTTGTAGTTTTTTTTTTTTTTTTTTTTTTTTANTATAATTTAGGGTAAGGGTGTGATACTATGTATTAATGTTGGTTTATGCAGAGTGCGATTGGTGAGGGCATGACCCGTAGGGATCACTCTGACGTGTCCAACCAGGTAGGTTATCCGATTATCATTATCAGCGTTGATTTGCCCAAGGGATCGAGCTACTTATTTATTTACTTTTCATTTGAGTTATTGATTACGATTAATGATTTTATATATAACTTGCATGTAGCTATACGCGAACTATGCCATTGGGAAGGATGTTCAGGCAATGAAAGCCGTGGTCGGAGAAGAAGCCCTTTCCTCCGAAGATCTGGTCTCTGTTATTCCATACATTATACATTACTTCAATTTTTCTTAAGAGAAAGCTTCCAACTAGTGAATTAACAATGAGAATTAGTAAATTACTAAAACTGCACCTTATCATTTATTGTGCAGCTATACCTCGAGTTCCTCGATAAGTTCGAGAGGAAATTTGTGACACAGGGAGCCTACGACACGCGCAACATTTTCCAGTCTCTCGACTTGGCGTGGACACTGCTCAGGATCTTCCCCCGGGAACTTCTTCATCGTATTCCAGCAAAGACGCTCGATCAGTACTACAGCAGGGACACATCTAATTAAAGGCAAGGGGGGTTAAGAGAAGAAAGCCCGTGTCTTTTGGCGTGTGGAATTGCTATGTGTTCGTTTGATGTGTATTTTATTGGGGTGGTTTTTTTTTTCTCTGGTTTTTTGAATAAGTGATGATCTTCTTCTGTTTGTGCACACGGGACAGAGAAAGACGTTATTCTTTGTAAGAGATTATTAGTGTAATTCGTTTATATTTCGAGTCACTCTACGGTTCTTAAATTGTAAGCTGCCGGACAATGGGTGGCCTGTATCATTATATTTAAAAATAAATAAATACGAGATGTTTGTAGCTTTGATTTGTCTTGAATCGATTTTGGTTGTGTGGAATCGACCAGTTGTGGATATATGCCCTGTTGATTCTACATGTTCGGTACCCAAATAAATTAGCGTATATCTTATTTGGTTAACTTATAAATTTTTTTTGGTAAGTATTTTTTGGTAAGATAAGATTTTTATAAAAAGCTCGAGTTTATATCATAAGATTCTTTGAGCAACTTTTCAAATAAACTCGTTGAAATTTTCATTTCATCTAACTTATCGCCTAATTTTATCACACTTTCATATAAGCTAGTTTTTCTTATATGAAATTTTTCATATAAGCTAGTTTTTCAAAGAAATGTAACATTGTCCATCAAAATCATCCCAAGCAAAGATTTTTGCTCAAAAGAAAAGCATGGTTTATTTAAGAGTTCTAGTAATAATAATATAACACTTGCCTATAGAGAAAGATACAAGCTTATAATCCTCTGCATGTGTATACATCCTACACAAATGACAATTTCTACCATAACCTAATAATTTCCAAGCCAATACAGAGTCCTCAACCACTCAACCACTTGTGAACTCCACCCCAAACAATAATCATGAATTTCATCATTGAAAAACCACACCACACAAGTCAAAGGAGTCCCCCTTTCACTTAGAGAAAACACCCGCAAAAAATCCAAAATGATCAAAATCACGGTTCGACACTAACCGTCTGATAACCAAAGTGAAACTCCGAACCCAACCGGCTCGAAAATCTGAACCACCGTCTCTTCTCACTGTACTTGAGGCAAGGCTGCAAAACAAGCCCTACCAAAACAGCAAACAGGCTAACAACCATCACTTTCACAGAAGCCAATGCCAACACAACTAATATCAACAACGACGGCGGCACGCACATCAAAACTGCTCCGACAGTCCCCACAGGAACCCTGTACGGTCTAGAAGCTTCCGGAAGGTCCACTCTCAGCTTCACAAACGCCACAAACTCCATAATCATCCCGAAACAGTACAAGAAATTCTCCGCAGCCACAATCTCCTGAAAGCTGAGCCACGAGAGGAGCGCTACACCAGAAGCGGAGAATAAAATCCCAACGGGTGGGGTTCCGTATTGAGACCTCCTCGCGAAACATTCCGGAAGCATCCCGCATTCCGCCATCCCGAGCAGCTGAAAAGAGTCGCTGCTCATTTCCGCCACAAACATCCCCATGTTCGAAAGTGCCGAGGCCCCTTGGACCCAAAATCTCAGCCACACGCCTCCGAGCATTTTCGCGATATCCGAAAAATACCCATCGCTCCACATTTCTCGGTCGAGTGGGATATTACGGGCCCCGGTGCCTATCAAGAGAGGGAAAAAATACGAGACCACGACTAAAAGTAAGGCGTAAAACAGAGCCTTGGGGAGGGTTCGGCCGGGATTTTCCACCTCGCCGGCGAGCGTACTAATGGAGTCCCAATAATTTAAGTTCCAAAAAAGGGTGTTTAAATACAGAGCCCAGTCGACTTTTTCCAAGTCGAGCACGAGCCATCGAGAAGGTTCTAATTGAGGGATCGCGACGAATCCCATAAAAACAAAAGGGAGCAAAGAGAAAGCGCCGAGCAATATAGCGACCCACCCGACTATTGTTAACCCTCTGTAGTTCATGTAAGTGAGGGCAATTGTGAGCCCAAGAATTGAAATCGAACGGGCTAAACCATTTTCAAGAACAGGAAAGGCAGATTTCAGATAGTCTAGAAATAAAACGGGATATAATGCATTGTCGATAACCCCACTCAGCCATTTCATCCACCCTTGCTGAAAGCCCCAATAAGGACCCAAAGCTGACGATACCCACACGACATAACCTCCATTTTCGGGGAACATTGTGCCTAATTCTGCCGTAATCAAAGCTTCCGGCACGCTCCATATAAACGGGAAAAGCACGAAACCGAGCAAAGCTAAAAGGGGCCCTGCTGCTTGGACACTGTCTTCGACGCCAAAGGGTCCCCCGGATACCTCGTAAAAAATGAGGAAAACGAGAGGGATTATTGATACCTTGGAGAAATTTTCCAATTTGGGAGAGGCTGAACCTTCTAACCCCACATAATCGGCATTGCTGGCTTGCTGCATTTTGTTTGTTGTTAGCTTAGCTGCTGAAGCTCGTTGTTTCTGTTTCCAATTAAGTAAAACATATGAATAAATCAATCAAAGAGACTGGCTGTTAAGAGAATGAGTGAGCAGTAATCTTAAAGAAAGGGATCTTTTTGGTTTTCCATTGAGAAAGATACTTAATTGATGAGCACAGCTACAGTAATAAGTAATAACCCTTTTTTTTCCCTCAAAAGGAAGGATTTTTATTTATCCCCAAACATTAATTGAGCATAAACATGTAATGTTGTACAGCAAACCCCAATTCGTGGCAAGCTTTTTGCAACAATGGGGAACGCGTAACTCGTGTAAATACGAGGTTGACGATGCAATTACCAGGCGAATTGAGAAAAAAAAATATGGGATTCACACAATCGCAAACAAGGAAATGAATTACCAAGGAAAATATCAAGATCGATTGCGAGTAAAGTGATACCATGAAAGCAAATATGAGAATCGAGCGAGTTACAGAGGAGATGATTGTGGGATTTGTCGATCCATGCGGAGCTGCAGGGAGGGGACGAGAACAATTTTGGGTTCTGCAGTTTTTTGAGCGCACGATTTTTAAATGCCAAAAAGTCGTGCTAAAAGTGATGCTACATCTGTTGTCGCTTGAGCGTCTAATCCTCGTGCTACTGAATAGTTCGAATAGTGTGAGCACAATTTATGCCTTTGAGACCGTAAATTTCACCGAACTCTTTCAGATTATTGAGACTTGATTTAAGTGTACGCAGAGTTCATTGTGCCATACTTGAAAATGAACATAGTGTGAAACCTAAAAGTTGAATACACAAATTAAAAAGGTGATTTTTATTTTTTCCCCTCCACAAAATAGCATTCTTTTTTCAATTAACTAAGGACGAAATTGGATATAAATAAAATCGATTTCAAATGAATTTATTGGTTAGTGGTTGATTTTGAATAAAGTTGATTGAATTGAAAATTGAGTGGGAGTTTGTACTGTAATAATATTTAAAATATAGCAATTAAAGTTGATGCCATATAAAAGTAAAAGAGATTATTAGAAATGATAGATTGATTAAAATATGTGAGTAGATGAATAATAAAGTAAAAGTAAGAGAGATTATTAAAAATAATAGAAAGATAAATATATGTGAGTAAATGAATAGTGAACTATGTAAGAGAATAATTAATTAGTATTGTTTAATTATATTGATAATAATGAGAATAGTTTAGTTGGATTAAATTTGAGTTGAATTTTATGCTTAAAAAAGTATTTGAGTTAAATTTAAAATTAAAAAAAAATAAAAAAAATATCTGATCAGTCAAAATCGACTATATTTTATAGCCAGTTACACCCTAAGTAATTGAATGAGTTATAATTATGAATTTAGAGTTATAAAGAGAATTTGGAACCTTTATTTAAAGGCTGCCCTAAAATATGCTCACAAATTAAGCATTTAGAATTTGGTACCTCTACAGAGGTTTAATGGCTACCCTAAATTATGTTCACAAATTGTGAAACGTCTAACCAATTAAATAATCATTTTTCTTAACTTTAAAAAAATGCATATTTATAATTTGATATATCATACTTGTGTTTATAATATATTTTATAACATGACATTTGAGTATATAAATATATTGAAAGAATATGCCTAAGAATTGTCAAAAACATGATTTGAAGTTCCTTGATTACTAAAAAAAATAAAATCCTCTACAATGGAACACTAGATACATGTAAATCACATTAGATACATGTAAATCTGATTCGATACCTCATAAGAATACTGTACAAATTTATCATAAGAATATTAATATTAATGCTAATACAATATTATATTTTAGTTCCCTATAGATCCCAATCAAATCCAACTAATTTTATGATATCAACGTCATAAGAGAGATTACTAACAAATTTATTATTGCCCAACAAGGTTATTCAGTCCGTCAGGACCGTCACAATCAAAATATCGATTTTTCATCAAATACCACTTTGAATTAACGTCGCTGACACTCCCTTCCATGAAATTTCACACCCTCCTTCCAATTAATCCGTAAATAATTTTAATCTCAATACTTGTGACGGTAACCTTAAATTGAAAAAGAAAAAAAAAACACGAAAAAGGAGATAGAAAAAGCAAAAGAAAAAAATGTGTGCAATTAATGGATATATAGGAAACTGAAAAGTCCAAAATCAACTCGACCTCAGGTCCTCAGCTCAATACACGTTGACTGGTGGGNGACAGACACGTGCACTCGCGGAGTCACATTCTCTCACTCCCCTTGCGCGTGGACCCCACCCTCCCTTCCTTTGCCTGACCTCATTCGCACAAAATCCCCTGATTTATGGACTCTCTCTCTCTCACAAACTCCACAGAAAAAACACACACAGATACTTGTTTCACTGTGCGAGTAGAACTCTGTTACAAATCGGCTATTTTTATCACTGTGGGAGTAGAACTCTGTTACAAGTCGGTCATGAAATTTGACCCAATCGAAACACTGTAAACCCTAATTCCTGCTGGCGTTCGGCCATGGAACCCCTGATCGACCTTCAATTGCTGAAGCCGCAGCTCTCGAACGGCGTCGAGATGCTCGCGCTCGAGGGCGGCGCCGAGGGCTACACGAGCCTGAGAGATCTCCTGCCGGCGTCCCCGGTGTCGGTGGCGTCGCCGTCAGGAGGAGGAAGCTGGAAGGAGATCCCGTTCAGGGACCCGCTGCTTCAGCACGCGGCGTGGGCGTACCTGCAGCCGATTGCGGAGGCGCGCGGGGGGGACGGGCGGCGGCCGTGGTGGTGGCTGAGGGGGGACTGCGGCGGGGTTTTGGGGTGCCTGAGCGGCGTCGTTTTGGTGGTAGTCAAGGGTCTGTTTGGCCGGAGACCTGAGAGTGCGGAAGAAGACAAAGCGGCGTTTTTTATNGGAAATTAATCGTTTTAGTGAATTTAGATTTTTCGTTTTGCCATTAACGTTCTGTTTTCTTGTGCATATGATTCGCAGGGTATTTTTTATTTGCCCGATTTTTCGAGAATTCTCAAGTTATTGTACATAATATATATTTGACTTTTTGATAAGAATGTGAATTGTTGAATAGTACTTGATTTACTTTATTAGTGCAGAATTAATATTTGTTGTAGATCAATCATCATATGTTTAAAGAAAAAGAAACTATGATGTTTAAGTTAGTTAACGTATGTCCGAAAATTCAGGGCACATTTAAGATCCCAAAAAATCTGAAAACATTTATTTTAAGATACATAATCAACATTCATTTCCTGATTCATCATACTAGCTTGGTTTGGCTATATCATATGAAGATGTTAACTCGAGTCTAATCATTTCAATGATCAAACTTGTACCAACTTTTAAAATAGAATTCTCGTTTGTCTCTCTCAAAGTGACCACCACAACCATCGTTTCCGTATTCATCATACTGGTTTAAAGAAATAATCATATGATGCTCAAGTCAGTTAACGTATGTCCAAAATTTCAGGGTACATCTAAGATCCCAACAAATCCAACAAGATTCCTTCAACATACATAATCCACCATCTTTTCCTAGTTCATCATACTAGCTTTGGCTTGGCTACATCATATATATGTGGATCTTAACTCAAGTCCAATCACTTCACTTGTTGACCTTCTACTGACCTTTAAATAGAATTCAAGATTCTTCATCTCTCTCAGTTCGACCACCACAACCATTATGTCCTGATTCATCATACCGGCTTCGGCATTGTAAGATTATTTGAGAATGCTAACTCAAGTCTAACCACTTTAATGGGCAATCTCATTTCTATCAAAATTTTCCCTACTTAAAGATTCTTCATCTCTCTCAAGTCAACCATCAAGACCATTATTTTATGCTTCATCATACCATGGTCAAATCTAACTCGAGCTTAACCACTTCAACAAGCGACACTGTACCCAACTTTAAATGGGTCCAGCGAGTGTGCGAACTCCTAAATAGGATTCCAAATTGAGCTAACCTAGCTTGAAAAGTTATCGGCATTTTTCGGATTTCAAACGAGCCAACTTAGTTGGCCACATTATTGCCCTTTTTCTGTTCTTGAAATAATGGATGAAAAGTTCTTATACTATTCACGTTTTCTTACTGAAGG